AGAGTATGGTGGAGATGGTAGAGTCTGGTCAGAGTATGGTGGAGATGGTACAGTCTGGTCAGAGTATGGTGGAGACTGTAGAGTCTGGTCAGAGTATGGTGGAGATGGTAGAGTCTGGTCAGAGTATGGTGGAGATTGTAAAGGCTCAGCAAGTCAAAAGAGTAACGTTTCTGTGTCTGTTTTCTCCTGCATTGTGTTTTTAACTCATTGACTGCCAGCCATTTTCAGAACAGAGTCCCATACTGCCAGAGTTTTTTGAGCATTTTGACTGATTTTTCAAGAGCCACAGAATTGTTTGTGCTATGACTATGTATAAAAAATGTGTTTCTACCTTATTCCGCTCTTCCTGGACTTGCGTCTCACCGGCGACATGTTCTCTCATAGAACCGTTAGCTTTTTCTTATTTGCCTACAGTCTATGCTCATCTCCCATCAAAAGTGGCACTGCCACATAAAGGGTCAATTTGTTAGTACATACTCTGTCTAGAAGCCTGATATTTACGGACAAGCTTTAGCAGATCGTCCCCCAGCCACTCTCGTTGAAAAACATAAAAGATGTCTATAGACGTCTTTGGCAGCCAATGAGTTAATAATGTTTTGGATTTAACCCTGACACTCACCACTGACAAATTGTCAGGGAGAGCAAAGTTAACATTAGTGGGTTGGGGGGGGCACATCCTGCAGATGTTGGAGCTGCAGCCTTCTCATAGAAACAAACTTAGATAGATTATTCTGTTTTTTATTTCAAAATCAAGCAGTTTTTCCTGAAAACCCCCAGCGAGTCACTGTAAAAAGGTTGGTTTCCACCAAACGTATCCTTTTGATTACTCATTGAATCAAAACGCTTGAAGTCGGCTGTCGGCTCAGACAAAAGCACCAGGTAAGGACACAGATTCGTGAGGGAAAAATGGACAAAACCTGCAGCTTGTCGGCTCTGTGAGTATCAGAAACGTCGGTTTCTCCTCACCAGACAGCAGCTTTCAGCTCTGAGCTTCCATCTGGGTCCAGGTCAAGAGCCCCTGGAACCGGATGTCCAGGGAGATCCAGGATTTCCTGGATTTCAGGAGAAATGTTTTAGAGTTTCCAGAGGGAATGCAAACAGTGGATCCCCTCTGGATCTCTGGATCTCCTTTTAATCTTCCCTGGATCTTCTCTGCTCTGTCAGATTTCTCCTGAAGCTGAAATTGCTGGGAAAACTGTCCATTTTCTGTCTTTTCTGCGGGACACATGATGCAACCTCCCTGAGCTGGATTTCAACAGCGGGGAGAGGAAACAGGTTGAAAAACCTTCGGGATTCCTGTGGACACGTCGTCTTCCCAACAGAAACCAGAACCAACAGAGAATCAGCCAATCGGGAGATTAACCAGAGGTTTGTTTTGAGCATTTGATGCCTTTTGACCTCAAAATGAATTAACTAACGTTTTCACTGTTCACAGAAAGGCAGCAACCTTGTTTCCTCTTTGTTGTTTTGATGTGCAGAGCTCCGAAAAACTGAACACCAGCTTTGATTTTTCCCCGCTAAGTGTCCCTGAATGCAACATGTGGAGACTCTGAGGACAGAAACAGCTCCTACTTCTCCTCTGGCTGATGTCTTCACCCTCGCTGAGGCTGAGTCCAGCCACTCTCCAAAGAAAACCCATTTGCATCAATATTCATTACAGTTAGTTCCAATTCAAAATGAATTAGAGGCCTTAAAACTCTGTAACACACAAACATTACCAGGTCAAAAAGAGCCGATGAGGACGCTGTAATTTGGGGACGTCTGAATGTAACCAGTGTTTTTCCATTACGCTCTGTAGGGCGGTTCCTGTTTTACTGCTGGTTATCACACTGCATACGAATGAGGGGGCAGGTCCCTTATTAGAGCCTCAGTATTAGTATTATTATTTTCTTTCAAATTCAAACCATCCTCGGATACTAGATGACCTTTAATAACTGAGAGAGCTTTTTAAAACTACATTGTAAAATAGACTTTGTTCACATTTCCTTGTTATTTCATTGCTTTTAACTTTAAATAACTTAGCATGTCTCTCGACCAGTGAAAAGCAGAAACGCCATACATAGATTCACACAGGAAGGGGGCGGGCTGCATCTGGGGCAAAAAGCTCAAACTGGCCCAAAGACGGACAGACCCAAAGATGGAGGCATGTGCTCAGTACCTGCTCCGTAAGTAGAGACGCTTTTTTCAGTTTCTGCTCTGTGGACAACTTCTGATGGGGGGACACACTGAAATAGTAAACCATTATTTTTCCATTACGCTCTGTGAGGCGGCTCTTATTTTACTGCTGGTTATCACACTGCATATGAATGAGGGGCAGGTCCCTTATTAGAGCCTCAGTTTTAGACAAAAACTACCATCCAATGCGACCCCTGCTGGTGGAAAGTGGTCAGTGTCTGGATATTAAAGTGGAAAACTGGTGGATAACAGCATCTGACTTCATCCAGAGCCTCAATATTTTAAACTTTGTCCATTTCTTTTAACTAAAAGGAGTGTCTGTATCAGACTGACACTCACAGACCAGCAAGAACTTCCTCTTTAACTAAGAATTCACACCTTTTGTGCAAAGAGGGAAGTAAAGGTCTTTTTAAAATGAATGTTTTCTCAAACTTTAAACGTTATTGATTGTAACCTGTGTGAGTGTCTCAGTTTGATATAAAGTGATGGCTTGTGAGTTAAAGTGTGTGTTTGGACCTTTGCTGAGCACATGAAGGAACACAGGAAAGAACCCAAACAGCTGCCGGGTCTCCAGCTTTTAAAAACCAGGAAGAGCTGCTCACTGAGTCAGAGGAGGAGCCCGACGCCTTCCTCTGGCCCACACCTCACTTCCTCTTTCAGGCTGCCCCATTTTCTGAAACTCGAGCTGGTTGTGTAGAAGTGGAGCGGGAGGAAATGGCTGCTCTGAGGTCTCTGAGCTTCTGCCTGCTGGCTGTGGGCCTCCTGCTGCCGGCTGCTTCCACAGGTGAGTTTACCTGGAGCTACCTGTAAAAACACTCTGCAGCTGCTTCACTTCCGGCTGGAAACTCTCCGTTTGGCTCTGTTTGTTTGTAGCTGATCAGAGTTTGGTGGAAACGTGTTTCTGTTTGGGCTCAGACTGAATATCCAGAGGATCTGAGCCTCTGGGGTCCAGATCCGAGGGGGGGAGGGGGGGGTTCTCTGGTGTGTCCTCCTCTGGTTCTGCTGTGGAGGTGCAGAGCTCCACTCTGAGCTCTTTAACCTCTCTGCTCTGTGTTGTTTCCTCTCTGCAGAACAGAGAATCACAGCTGAAGCTGGACAGGACTCAGTCACTCTGCCATGTAGTGCTGAAAAGGAGAAAAGGATATCGACTGTGGAGTGGAGCATACCTGATCTGGATCCAGATACTGTTCTTTACTACATAGATGGTCACTTTCTTCCAGACCGCCAGCATCCATCCTTCAGGAACCGGGTGGATCTGCAGGACAGACAGATGAAGGAAGGAAACGCGTCTCTAATTCTGAAGGATGTGACGATGAATGATATAGGAACATATAAGTGTGTTATTCAGAGTAAAGGAGATATGGGGTTTTTCTTTGAAACCTTCATCTATCTGGACGTAACTCCTCCAGGTGAGTGTGTGTGTGTGTGTGTGTGTGTGTGTGTGTGT